TAGTTGGGAAATTTTTTGTGGGGCCTCAGTGAAGTGTGGGCTACAAAATGTACGACTCAGATTTTTTTGGGGAACACTTTCGTTTTTTTTCAATAACCGTACAAAAAAGTTACGATTAGCTCATATATATACTATAAAACGTGTATCTACATTCTTTTTCTCCATTTGCTATCTTATTTTCTTCTTTCTACTTTTACCAGATCCTTAAATTGTTATCACAATATGCGTAGCTCTTGTTTTTCTCTATCGCCGATAATAATGGAGCTTGTCTCTCTTTCGGTGGGTAGAGATAGTATAAAATTGCTGATTTCTTACTTTTTCAAATAAATAGCTTATATCAAAAATCCACTTTTTTTTAAGGTGTGCCGTACTTGAGATAACTCTTAATGAATTTTCATTATCGTACTCAGATTATAGAACAAATATTTCTCTATAAATCTGTCTGTTTCACGGCTTTGTAGGACATTTGTGTAAAAGTTATGAACATTTTAATGAAAGCCTCATTTCATAGTCAATGGGAAAAGGTCGAATTTTCAGAAACAGAGGTTTTTGTAAAATGTTTATAACTTTTCAATAAAAATTCGCAGCAAATTTACCAGCATAAACTATTTAATGCCCAAACTCATTTTTGCATAATCGACTTCCGTAATCAAGTCAATTGCTAAATTATCCATGTTTAATAATAATTCGAAAGTATTTTTTAAGTTTTCGTTAGTCAAACATTTGAATACATATGGCCGAATTGCATAAAGAATAATAGAAACCAAAGCATATTCAACAAAACGATTTATGTTTGTTTTCTTAATCTCATTGTCATTCGTAGAGGAATCAAACATTGGTGATAGACCACCAAATAAATAAAAGTCTTTTGTGCCGTCATTAATTGTTAAATATTTTTCAATTTCAATACGTTTGACTAATGAGAACAGACAATTTTCGCTAAAAAGTTTTAACAATGGAGCGAGAGAACATTGTGGCGGTATAGCGTATGCATGAATATGTGATTTAGTAACACGAGTACAGGGTTCTTTACATTTGTTCATTGTATCACAATTCAGTGACGACGTCTCAGGTAATGAGTTGGGTATGAACGATGAATACGAGACTAGTGTATTAGGACAAGATTTACATTGAGAACTATCTGATTTTGTAGCTAATAAACGATATTTTTGCGTTAAATCAAATGAAAATTTTGTAAATAATTGTACTGCTGATACAGGAAATGTATGCACGATTTGAATGAATATATCATCGAGTGTTGAACAATTCGTTAATTTTGAAGGGAGAACAGTGGCTAGATATCTATCGAGACTATCTTCCGAAGGACATAATATAGTTGATAGAATGTCAGGTGTTATAGAAGATGAACAAGAACCTTTGACACATTGAACTGAAATATCCATTGGCCATCTAGATATCAAATAATATCCTCTTGACTTCATCGTTACCGAATCTATCTGTAGCAATGATTGCCATAATGAATCAACTGAGATCCAATGCGGAGGATATTTGAAGCGCGCTACATCTAATATTAGTACTAAATCATCTTTTTCATGATAGCCGGCAATTGGTGAGAAATGTCCACCACCAGTTTGTTGTAATGTTTTTCTATCATAACTAACAACTAATCGTATATCATCTTTTTTTCTCGTACATGCGGTTATTATCGCCGAACGAAATTGTTTAATACTTCCGTACATAGCTGGAAAGGGAATTACAGAAGCACCATTACATTCGGCTAAATATAAGAATTCTTCAAACGTAATTCCATTCTCATTAACATTTTCTAACGGATTATCTTGTGGTTTCCTTTTATCACATGTTTGTAGAATGTCCTCTGAATACCATCGCCAGTTACCTTTCCAAATTTGTTGAGAATCGATTTGTAAACTATTTAAAACCATTGTTAATGTACCCGGTCCACAATAAGCTGGATCAGCTTGTGTTTGAAATGTTTCAGCTAGAGTAAAATATCCTTCTAGGCCATTGCTTAACAAAGCTTCTTTGAATATTTGCTTTCCTTTTTGTGAACTAAATACTATTGCACTTTCAGGTAATAAACGACGATGAAATCCTGAAATGCATTTTGTTATCGTTTTATTCTCATAAGTGGGCACTAAGACGCATGTTTTACAACCACATTCAGACATTGACGACATTGATCTACAATGATAAAAACAGATCACAAAAAAATTAAATTTTAAATAATGATAAGATTATATTATAAAAAGAGAGATAGACGCTATTAAGCCGTGAGACAGTTTGAATATCTGGTATGTTTGATAAGACCCATACCTTCTCCTTTTCAGACAGGTAAATCTCCTCTAAATGGATATATATGCTATGGAATAGTAAAGCATTATTACAGTTAGGATATCCAGAATTTTCGTTTACTACCAGTATCGATAAAGCATATTTATTGGCTAGTTTTGACATTGCAGGCGACTGTCTTAATACTTTCACGTGTGTCATCCTTTACTACTAATGGCTGTAATAAACCAATCGTATACTGTTAGTAGTACTTGTACTGGGTATAACGGTAATAATGATATAATATAATGTTCATAACTGAGTTCATTGAAAAATGTCAAAATCTATTTTAAAATACGTGTACTTGTGTAGAAGAAGTCTTACTATTGAAGTTCGTAGACAGTATTGCAAGCTCAAAATCCTACACGATGCCATGCAGTTAAAAAAGGCAAAGTAAAAATTAAATGAAATGAATTAAAGAAAAGATGCAAATAAATAACGTCTAGTAGGCTTACGACGTTGTGCATAGTGATTAAAAATAAAAATTATAAAATTCAACAGTATCAGTATTCTTTGGCAAAAAACATAGAAGAGCATGAAAAATCGGAAAAAATTAGAAAATCAGAAATCACCACTGGGAGAAAGTTTCAGAATTAGAGCAATGGGAAGAGTTGGCTACCCCGTTGAATGCAAAAGTTATTGTTGACATAAAGCTTAAGCAGCATTGTAATTTAATTAATCAATTCATATGTTCTTCTTTGTCTGTGTGAGAGCTGCTTTTACAACTTGTTTATTCTTCCTGAGATGTCATACTTTTAATTAATTTGCTTTATTTCAGTTTATCTATCAGTTCTAATGGACGATCCTAATTATGCTAATGCTCGACGTGAATTTCCTGATTTGCTGTATCCAGAAGCAAAGTTTTTCAACGCACGCCCCTATGATGTTTTACTTGAACTTTGGCCAGCAACAACAATTGACCTTACAACAGATAAAAAGTTTACAATGCAAAAAATATCATCATCTAAAATGACTGACAATTATGCTGCATTAACACTACCATTTATCTATTCTGGTATAAATTGTGTTTTTGTTTAACTCTCCTACGAGGATATTGGAGTTTATGCTACTAATACTCATTCATAGAATTGTCTTTTTCTCTTTTAGTGGCAATGGACGATCTCAGCAATATGAATAAATATACTTTATCGACGGTATGCCGAAAATTAATGTTGTTGTTTTCTCACCTATTTTTATTATGCACATTATAGAAGTATGGGGGATATTCGACAAAACTAATTCATGCAGAACTCAACGATCAAGACTATTTAGTTTATATTGGTGGTAACAATCAACTGAGTATCCTTTTGTTCTATATGTTCGGATTAAAAATATCAAATCGGTTTTTACCTACGAAAATAATCCTAAAAGTAATTCGATAATCCTTAACTTATGATGGACAGATGTACAAGCCGTGTCAGATAACAGTTTTGACGAATTACTTTCAAATACAAATGAACATTTGATATCAATAAATCAACAACGTTTCAGAAAAACATTTTCAACCAACACTGAACTATTAGCCTGCATTGGCAACAGCAAAGATGAGGATAAAAATAATCGATGTTTATCAATAGCAGTAACAGACAGAGTAAGTTTCTGAAAACGTTGTACTATAGATTTGCTTTTTAGCAATTTATGTGCAGTATCTCATTCGAGGTTATAAAAGAAAAAGTTATTTAGAAGTAAATATCGTTTATTTACAAATTTATGAAATAGGCTAACGAGTAAAAATATATTTTTACTATATACATATATAGAGGTATTATGAATAAAGATACAGGTTATAAAACATATACTCAGTTTAGATTTTGACAGATATACCTTATTTGTACTCAGTTCTTTTTTTCAGTCAAATTTATTCTTTTATCGATTTGATAGTGAAAATAATCATTTTGATCAATGTTATATGAAGAATTTATCGGATAATATTTGTTCTTTATCATTTAATCCGTATGTTCCATCATTTTCGATTTTTATTGATGATAAACATCAAATTCATTTAGTTGACTTCGAACAAGAATCTGAACAAATAATTGTTCAACAACGATACTATCATCAACAACAAAAAGATATTTACAATCAAATTGAAAGTCAACTCTTATTTATTGGATGGGATTCATCACCATTTTTGTTTACCTCAACAAATAGTCATTATGGTTGTAAATTATATGATACTCGTATACACAACGAATGTATTAAGAATTTATTTCAATTGAATAAACCTTATTTACATAAACTAGAAACAATACGGTTATATCAGTCAAGTATAACAAACGAATATCAACATATTTTTATAACAGATTATACTGTGATATTGATTGATTCAAGAATGGCGGATAGAACGGTAGATATTTGAGATTGATTAAATTTTGACAATATCCATACAGACGAACAATTTTATGTATCTTTTTACTCTAGATGATCTATACGAAACATGAACTATTGCGTCCGCCTAAATCTTTTACACAAGTAAAACTTGACGGTTTAATATCATTACCATACTGTCACAAGCTACTGATTAACGATGAACATAATACAAATATTATTGAATATGGTTTAGACAATTATAATCGTATAATTCAATTAAATTCTCCTTGGGAACCATGTTCACTGTCAAATTCACGATATTATATATCAAATGACGATGTTGCTCAACAATTAATGGTACGATCGATTTATTTTGATTTGCCTACCAATGACATAGCGACGATTAATAAACGTTCTAGTAAAACGGAGTATTTATTATTTCAAGTAACTAGTTTTTTTTATGTTTATTTATTTCCTACAGTGCTCTTTCTTTTTAGTTGAACAGTGCCGGTAATTTACATGTGCAATTATTTGGCCAATGTTTAACAGATGAAAAAACATGGAATCCAAATCCGGATATGATAATGAAAAAACCACCAACTTGTTTTAGTGAAGCAATGAAACATTGGGCATCCAAGTAATAAAACTACAATCTTATTAAAAAGACATGAAATGCAGCGATATTGTTTTTAGATTTTTAAAGTTATTTCAATGTGAACAATGTCTAGTGTACAATGTTGAACCATCAAATTTAACAATTGTCACACCATTCAAAGCCATGACATCAACAACATTAAAAGCTTTTCCAATATTTAAAAATACTCATTCACATTCATCAAAAGAAATACAATGTATGTATTATTATTATAGTTACGTAGTAAAATAGGTATAAGGTCTACTTTTATTTATTCTAGCTGAAATGACTCGATGTCCAACATGTCAATGTTTTCCAGTATACGATGAAAATCGAGCACAAGTGTGGATTCAAGGTAGAATATCCGTAAATAATTCTAATCATGTATGTTCAATCGTACGTGTTTGTCTTTTAGATTGGAAAAAAACATTTCCAAAACAATCATCACTATCTATAACACCTAGTAAAACGACTGATCAAGACAATAAATCAATAAACGCAACACAAATATCAGAAAGTGTAAGTAATATTCACTGTATAGCATAAAACTTCGGGCCGCTACTTGATTGTGCAAAGCACTTGAACAAGATTAAATGCTTGTAAAACTGGTATAGTGGATTACTAACATTGAGAAGTTTGACATCTTTTAATATTGTTTTATTGATTATTTCAGAATACATCTCAAACAGCGAATAAAAACTGGCAAGAATTTTTTGATTTAGCTGAACTTAAACAAGCAAATCTCTCTTATACGCTATTTAACGAAATAGAAACACCATGGCAAGAATGAAAACGACAACAGCAACAACCCGGTTTTATTTTGATTTGATTATGAGTCTAAGGTAACTTTCATTTATTTCGATATTTTGAACTGCACAAAGTACATTTTCGAAGTAAAAATAGTACAGTGGTGTTCGTAAATTTTATAAAATGGAAATATCATTGAGTGATATGTATCTAGAATATATGTGCTCAAGGAAAAGAAACTACTAGTACAAGGAGATTATTTCATCGAAATTAATAGCAGCAAAACGAAAAAGAGAAAATAAAATGATGTGCTTAGAACGTATAGTACAGAGAGAATTCTTCTAATAATAACACTCTAAATCTAAATAGAACACACTATTGAGTGTTGAAACAGATTTCAACCCGATGCATATCGACAATCAATGAAAGAATCTTCAGCAGTTCTATATGTCTGAATCTTAGGTAATAGAATATAGACCCCTAGAAACGAATTTTTTCGGAACCTTCGTGAGCTTTAAAAATAGATGTCTATATTCTATTTTTGATGTAGATTCAGGAAAAAAATGTTGGAGTTTCAGAACGAAACGGGAAAGACCTACACTCATTTCTCTCGAAGAAAAGGATTTTTTCAAAAATAGAGTCTCTTTCATATTTTCAAATTTTCCCCACGAAGAAAGGCCTTGGAAAAGGTAAAAAAGTGATATTTCGGAATCAGCTGTTCGAGTTCTATCCAATAAATAAATAAGTCAAAAATAAAATTGTTTCAACTTTGAATTAGCGGTGCCTTATGTTCTAAGCACATCATTTTATTTTCTCTTTTTCGTTTTTCTGCTATTAATTTCGATGAAATAATCTCCTTGCACTAGTAGTTTCTTTTCCTCGAACACATATATTCTAGATTACATATCACTCAATGATATTTTCATTTTTGAAAATTTACGAACATCACTGTACTATTTTTACTTTGTGCAGTTCAAAATATCGAAAATAAATAAAAGTTACCTTAGACTGATAATTAAATTAAAATAAAATCTAGTTGTTATTGTCGTTTTCAGTAAACAATCTTTTCATGGCTAAAAGTATTTGTTATTGATTATTGATATACGTGAGAATGTTTTTGTAATATTTTTCTAAGACGTAAATGATATTTAAATTATGGAAGTGGATGGTTTATGATAGATATTCATATCTAATAACAATAATGACAAAACAATTTGCTATTCTTTTGTACTATATTATTGTCTGTTTTTGTAAAAAATAATTTTTTTGTTGCTCAATTGTTGTTTTTCATCTGCGAGTATGTTTGTATAATACTGTTTTTAATATTTTTTGAAAAAAAAAGATCAGTACAAAAAAACGAATTAATTCAGCTAAAAAAAAAACATGAAATAATAAAAAGTTTTCTTAATATAATTAATTATTATTCTTATATGTATTTCTTCTGTTCACGCACTCGCTCTTCTATTGTATATAATACAAAGATAATTTTTACTTAAATATAAAAGACATCTTAAAAAACTGAACTATATAATTTTAATAAACAAAAGAAAAAGAAGCTCCTAAAAAGCGAGTTAAAAAACCGATATAATGATATAGTTTATTCGTGATAGAAGAAAGTAAATGTGTGTGTATTTTCTGAGTAATGATCGAGCAAAAAGGAAATAAATAGTAGTATTTTTAATCAAAGAAGACGATAATAAATAAATAAAAAATGGTTGGTTTTTTTTTTTCTCTCTTCTGATAGCTAAATAGAAATTTTGATTTTTTGAAAATAAAACAACAACGCATTTGTGATTATAGAAATAGAAATGGTACAATTTTTTTTAGCACAATCGATAATATTTGTAATTCACAACCGCGTATAACACGTATGGAAAAACGAAAAAAGAAGAATAAAGGAGCAGTCGTTGCATTATTTAGAAATCAAAACGGAAGGAATACTTAAAGAAAAAAAAAGGACAAACCATACGTGATTGTGATTAAATAATGTGGAAAAAAGAAGAACAAAGGATAGAAAATGGACTAACTAGATACAGTTGCTGTTATATGTCTGCTATTATAAACAAAATCGATGATGTAATCCTATATGTAAGAAATAATATTTTTGTTGAAAAAAAAGATCCTTCTTCTCATAAAGAGCAAGAGATAGATTTTAAGCATATAACAAATGATAATTTTTAAAAAGAAAAACAGTTTTATCATATCGAAAATTGTTTTATGTACTACTAAAGAAAAAAAAAATAGTCACCGTAAACATTGGGAATATTAGAAAAATTGATAAAAAATATTAATAGGAATAATACATTGATATCGGTGAATAGTAGTCCATATTAGCAGAAAAAAACACATTAAGGTGGCCTTGTTCAAATAAGAAAAAAAATGACAAATGAAAAAACAAACAAAAACAAATATATTTTGTATTTTGATCATCTTTTTAGAGGAAAGAAGAACAAGAAACTGTTCACAGAAGAAGAAAAAAAGTTAAAAATAACAAATAACATCGATGTGAAGATGTATGATGATATTTTATTTAATACTATTATTAAATTATTATAAGTAAATCGGTTGTTGTGAATGACGACTGATAGCTAAAACGAAATAAAAGTAGATTTTGGATTATATTTATATATTTACAAAAAATAAAGTGAACTCTACTACAGATCAGAGTAGATATATATTAGTTCTAAGCTAGACCAGTGTTTTCTCTGCTTCTTTTTCGATTATTGATTAAAAAAGAACTTCATAAACTGATTATTAAGAATTTTTCAGAGTTTCAAAACATCACGTTTATTTCATATGTTGGTATAAAACAAAAGATGTAAAATAGAGAAATATTTGAACGATTTTGTTCATAATTGAAAACTGATACACAAGTTCTGACATACAATTCTCATATTATAGAATAGTCATATATTTGTTACAATTAATTCTGAAATTATTTTTATGTCAACAGAAGTGTAGTTCAAATATTTCTCTGGAAAATAAAATATTGCGTAACTCTGAGCGATTTTTGAATAACTAGTTTACGGAGTTTTTGTGAATGCTCCAAAATGAACCGAGAAAGAACAATTTTCTAGAATTGATGCATATCTACGTCAGAGCATATTATACCCACAAGAACAGAGATTCTTTATTTGTTACACACCAAGGAACAACTTTATATACGACAGTATTTATATTGTCAAAAAACCTCGTAAAAGCCATTAGCAAAGTTTGCAACCATTGAAAAATAACGAACGAAAAGAGACATAAAAACCACCAGTTCTCTCATCACATTTCTCTGTTGTGTTGGAATAACCAATTGTACCAAAATGGACTGACTTATCCTACTTGTTTACTAATGCGTGAAGAAAACCCAACGATGACACTGAGTTACAAGGAAAAGTAGCAATAGTTATCGGGTTTTTTGTTCAATGTGAAGAATACATAATGCGAGTATTGTGCTAAAACACCCATTCATAGTGATATCGGGAGAAGAAGTAAATATTCTTTTGCCATAAATTAGAACCATACCGATTAGTATGTGTACACATGCAAAAGAAATAGTTCATGTGAGAAAAATAATGAAATAATAGCAAAAAGATCCATAAAGCGTGTATTAAAAAGCGCCAAAAAAATGGTGAAAGATTCTGCAAACGAAACGAGTTGACCTAGGTGTAAATGCTTTCTTCGTCATAAGAAAAGAAACGAATGGAGTCGCGTGTATACTACGTTTGTCTAAATGCAGAACTAACTCACCGTCAGTTTATGTACGTATCAAAATTTTAATAAAGACTGTGCTCTGACAATCCATAACGGAATGGTGGTTCACGTTTGAGAACTAGAAACAGTACATTTGTTTACGATAACAAAATTATTAGTCTAAATGACTGTGAAGAGGTAGAGAAAGAGGACGAGACAGACAAATTCTAAAAAAATATTTTGTGGATGAAAATTTGTTTTTTGTATGTAATGTGGAATTTTGATTGAATTCAAACTGGTGTATAGACTAAATAAAAGAAATTAAACCTACCTCGTCTACTAGGTATTTGCACAAATGGTAAAGATGAATTTAATGGTATTGCATGCATTTGACACCAGTTATAACCAGAAGTATCTATAACAAGTAATTCTAAGCTACGATATCTTTTACTATTGTCAATTATATCAACAATTTGTTGTGATGTTAATGTTGTTGTATCTCGTCCATTTATTTCCAATATTCTATCATCTGGCCGCAGACCATATTCATATGATGCTGATCCTGGTGTAACGTCTTTAATATTAATTGGATTTATCTTTTGAAGTGTAAAACCAAAATCTTGTTCATGACCTAACAACTGAATTTTACATAGACGTGGTGGAAATATTGTTATTAATTCTGAAATAGGATTTTGATAATCAAATGGTTCAGGTTGTAAATAACCACCTTTTTTCTTCAATGTATGATAAGCAAGCGATGTTAATGTTACCAGTGTTATCTGAAATAAATAAATGTAGTATTTAAGCGCATGCTGTTGCTATTCAAGTGTATTCTTACTTGTCCTTGTTCTTCAAATGTACGATGTATTAATTGTGTCATTTCATCAAATGATGTCATTGCTTGAACATTTCTTGTATCAATATAAATAATATGATCGCCTTCAGCTAATCCTGAACGTTTTGCTGGACTATTTTGTTTTACTTCAACAACAATTGGTGTATCGTAATTTTCACGTTCTAATAGTTTAAATCCACATCCTGGAAATCTGGGATCGCGTATAAGCAAACATTTTCGGGGCAACGGATTTGATGGTGCATATTGTTGTGATACGTACGGATTGATAACAGATGGTGGATGTGTATAGACAGATGTTGGTAGAAAATCATTTGCACTATACGGGCGATAATTTTGTGTTGGATCAGTCAGACCCAGATTATCTACACGCGATGTGGACAAATATTTAACCATTGTTGGCACCTGTGTTCTTCCATATTGATTGTGGGACATAGTTGGGTCATAGTGGGTTGCATAAGAACTATTTGCATACGGGGTATGTTGACCAACACCATATTCTGAATCATAACTATTATAAATAGTTTGATCAGTTAATGACGGTAATGATTTTGTTTTAGATTTGACTGTTTTTACAGACAATGGTTTAATGTTACTAGGTTGAATCAATAAACGTAATAGACCATTGATACTGGAGGTTTTAATCATTGATGATACATCTAAAATAGCAAATAGAAGAAATAATTAATTCACTTACATCAGTGTTTTTACACGTTAATATTTCATTACCTTTATGTGATTTGTTTACAACAGACTCGTCGTTAACTTCGATTACACGATCTTCATTATGCAGTCCAGCTCTAGCTAAAATTTAAAAACAAACCAAGTTTGACTATATTTTGACCAATACTTAATTTTACTATTTTGTACCTGCTGGTGAATCTCGTTTCACATTTCTTATAACATGTTGTCTATTTTCATTTTGTTGTAATTCAAATCCAAAAGGTGTTCCGGGTTCAGTATTTAAACGACAAAAACGTAACATTGATTTGCTATCAACAACATCGACGGCAGCACGGCTCAAACGTCCAGCATTGCTGAGTGTAGAAGAGATACTTGGTGGTGGTTGACGTTGTTGATAATCAGGAAATATTCGTTGTGGAATCATATGAGTACTGTACATTCCACCATCTAAACAATTTAAAAATTGTTTTAAAAGCAATAACTCATCATGTTAAAAAAAAACAGATACCTGCTGATGGTGTATACATTTTAGGACCTGCTGATGATGGTCTACTATTATGCGCTATGTATGTTGTAGGTGGTATATGTATTTCACTTTGACTTGGCAACTGTTCCTGGGTAATAAAGCGTTGTGGAAGTGTGTTTGCGGATGTAAACACAGTTTGTGTTTCTGGTGTTATTTTTCTGAAAGACAGATACATGGTATATAACACAAGACAAATAACGTTGTTTTACCTTTCTATGTTGGAATAGGGAGATTTTGGATCAAATTTCAATCGATTTTGTTTATACCATTGATAACCTTCATCGTCAATAACCAATAAGTTCAATTCACCATCTCTATTATACGACGTATCAATTAAATTTAACACATGACTGTATGACGTATTTTCTATATTAACATTGTTCACTTCAATCAAATGATCATTGTTTCTTATACCAGTGTGGGCAGCCGGTGAATCTAATCTTAATTGATGAATCGTATAGCCACCATCCGATTGTGTTAAACTAAAACCTAATTGCTGATAATGTGGCCATGGACGAATGTGGCATTGACGTAATTTTGGATATTGTTCTTGTGGTATATCATCATTCATATAAGGACTGGATGTAGTGACATAGTCACTGTTATTATTTAATAGTGGTACACGAGTTGGTGTTCTATCACTTAGCATCGATGATGAAGTTGCTGGTAAATTATAAGTAGAGATTGGTGGTGTACGTCCTACAATTTGTTGTGGTGTACGTCGAATGAAGCGATATGTTTCTTCATCCATCACGTCTAACGTGAGTAAATCGGGATTATAAATCCGATTATTGTTACCTGTCACACTTTTCATTAGGTCCATAAATTCTTGTTGATTTAAATGTTCCACGTCTTGGAAAAAAAAGAAAAGAAGAATATCATTTTCAAACCTTCAAATATATTCAAAGACAAAATTACCTTGGTTATTAACACGTAATATATAATCCCCTTTACGTAAACCTACAAAAAGTTTTAAAATAGTCAATTAACATACTTCTGTCCGAGATAATCTTTAGTATGTTAAGCAGTACAGTGCGACTGATAGTACCCTAGTAAAGAGGTACTTAAACTTGTGCTATCCTTTTTACAAGATAATAAGTATATAATTGTATAACTTTCATACAATAGCATCATGTAGCTAACGTATACGAGAGTTGCCTTTGCTTTATACTTCAGACGCTTAATCAGGTTCAAGAGGATTTGTTTTAATAGTGATAAAATGAGTAGCCGATAGTCACAACAATACCTTGTCTGTCCGCTGGTGAGTTTCTTTCGACTTGATTAATTTGATGTGGTGTTCCACCATCCAAAGCATTTGGTCGATATGTCACACGAAAACCATATCCTTCAAAGTTTGGAGTTCGTTGTAGTTGATATGTTCTCACATTATTGTGCTGGACTTCCAACGGATTTTGCGTAAATGAACTATTATTATTAAGCGAATTTTGTTGTCTATAAACTCTGTAGACATTTTCATCTGCTACTAACAAACGTACATTTTCAGTATTTGTTATTCGTCTTAGTTTATCCTCTAATTGTTCATGTGTTAAATGTTCAACATCTTCATCATTAATTGACAGTATATAATCATTTATTTTCAGACCCATTGATGACACAGGCGCATTGCTATCAATACCGGTGATGATATGACTATAGGGTGCTTGTGGTGATTCAGTTGGACTTGTTCGAAACGTGAATCCAAATCCGTTACGTAGACCATCATCTTTACGTACTCCAACATTGCGTGTTTGCAACGATGGACGCTGCGGTGGTAGATATGTTGGGATAGGAATGTGATCATTAACAATACTGTTGAATGGCGGAATAGAACGGTCGTCAGCAAATGTTCCCTGCATCGATTGTCCGTCGCGATTTAATATGGATTGATTCGTTGTAGGCGCGTTATAACTATATCCATTTACTAATGGTAGTTGCTCTTGTTGTGCTGGTGTTGGCTGCCTTGAATTCTGACGATTACTATCATAACTAGGTATGATTGTTGCTTGTGAATGATCTACAAATAAAGATACTTGATTATTTTCGAATGATCTCGTTCCTGCAGTAAAAAAAGCAAAAGACAAAAAACCTGTTTATGCGACGATAAACTAAAGTTTGTGTAGCTTATATGATGTATTATGGTCAGTTTCAGTTTTTTCAGAGATATAATGTAATTATACTTTAGAAACATAATGATGACTCAGTCGTTCGCTAGATTTTCCTCATTGTACATACCTGATCTCATGGATGTGTAAGTTTGTGGCATGTTAGGTGGTAGTCTTCGTACGGTAGATAAGCCACTATATATTGTTTTATTATTTTGTTTATAATAATTATATGTTGGTTCATCACAAACAAGTAATTCTAATGATTGTAAACGTTGGTTTATGGGATTCGGTTGACGTATTTGTCTAATTTTGTTTGTTACGTAATCATGATCGAGTCGTTCTATATTCTCACCGTTAACTTCGATAAGTCGATCATGATCTCTAATACCGGCATGTTTAGCTAATGATTGTTCATCAATTAGTGTTAATGAATGAAATCGATCTTGTCTATGATAATTCAATTCAATTCCAAATGTCTCATTTGCATTGGAACGATTTATTGTACACAATCGAATATCTTCCTGATCTGGTCTTAATTGCTGTTGTATAGATGCATTTATTGGTATGGATAAATTAGGTACACTTAAACTCATTGATTGATTTCTATTTCCGCCGTCACGTATCGTCGACGTGTTGGAAGGAGGATAATTTGTTATTGGCGATTGCCCATTCAAATATGGATCTTAAATTATATAAAGATATATTTCGTTTATGTATGTATATGCAGTGTATGGTATCATTTCAATTAGAAAACGCAAAAGGTATCAACATAAACTTCCTAAAGTTTTCATATGTTTGTCATACCACGTCTCCCACACTCAATGTATATCTGTCAAAACGTATATTCACCCCCTGTTATCAGAAAAAATATGTTACAGGTGCAGATTAAAGTTATATCCATTCTGTTGTTACATTTGGAGTACGTTATTATTACAAACTGACCGTTTTATTTAACTCTTTTAAAGTAGGATGCTCTAACATACGATCTATTAAAATTGAATGAATATTTGAATGGAAACTTTAGTCAACTGATTTAAACATATTGTTTCACCACCCATATAATTATCAAGAATCAATTAAAATATTCAACGACTTACCCTTACTACTGGCTGTACTTCTTCCGGATAACGATGGAGTTGTCGCTGAACGAGTTTTAGCACGCGAACTAAGCGTCATTTTATTATCGCGATAATATTGATACGTATCAGTATCGGCAACAAATAGCCTAACAGTTCTTTTCGCTTTCGCTTTACGTAATTTATCCAAGATCGATGCTGAAAGATCACTATTGACTTTTTTACCATCAATTTCAATAATACGATCACTTTTTCTTAAACCAGCTAAGGCTGCCGGACTATTTGGTGTCACATCTTGGATGTAAGCTCCGGTATCATGTTCTCCTAAAAAGATAGTTTATAAGACGGATCATAAAAGAGATTATATCATATTTTGTATTCACCATTAGCAACTTCGAATCCAAAACTATCGTCACCCGGTCTCAAATTAATTTGGCATGTACGTGGTGTCCTCTGTTGCATATTCATGTATTCAGCCGGGATTGTTGCAGGAGTTTCCATAATAATCGCTGATCTCGTATTAAATTTTATTCCATTTTTTTTCAACTTTTGATAATTAGTCAAGTCGCATACCAAAAGTTCAATCAAACCTATAATAAACAAATTATACACAAATGCTTAAATAAAGATAATTTTCATAGGTAAACAAACCTTTTCGGTCTCGTGCTTCTTGAATATTTCTTTTAACATGTTCATACTCAATACCCTCAACATCTTCACCATTTACTTGTAATACAACATCTTGTATTCGAAGACCACCCGCTGCTGCGGGACTGTTGGATTCAACTAAACGAATAATATGTGGTGCTCCTTTGGGTGCTTGTTCGAGAGTAAAACCTAGACCCGGATAATTTGGCCATACATGTAAACGACAAAGTCTTAAACTTGAAGATGGATCAACAGCCATACGAGCAAATTTGAAAAAGAAAAAAGAGACGAAATAATATAATAATTATCGATTAAAATTTCTAGTAGATTTAAGTCGTGTTCGATAAATTGACGTTTTGACGAACCAATCTTGATAAGATATTAAAATCGTCATGAACAGTTAGCTAAACAAATATCTGAAATGAAACAAAAATCTTTGCATAGAGAAAGAGAAGGTGTACTTTTTGTTCATTTACCAATATGATGAATTTTCTCTATCAGCTTATGTCTAATCATCATATTAGGCAAATTAGAAACGATTAAAATTTGTTATATCAATATCATCGTTTACCTTTTCATTCCATTTTTGAAATCGAATTGTTCGTTCAGTAAAAGTTTCACAAAATGTATACAGACAGGTACAGATGATCAATCTGCAAAAATAAATCTAGTCTTTAGTATTTTTTATTTATTTTTTTATTTTTATGTAAGAATGATCAACAAAAAATGAAGATGAACTGATTTTTATAATTGTAGTCGAAGCAGTTTATTTAAATTATAGACTTAGATAATTATTCGTTAAAAAAACAAAAAATTTTTCATTATAGAATTTGCAAATCTATTTGTATAAAATGCTTAAATATCGAATATCATAGTGTCATTGTCTCACATCTGAATATCTACGCATAGAAAGTGTTGGATGTATATGTGTGTGTGTATGGTATCATTTCAATTAACAAACGCAATAGATTCTCATATACATACTAGACAATCTGAGATTCATGTTCACATTCTTTATATTTGGCAACGGTCTTCTTACCATGCATAGAGTATGTAATGATATATACGTACATATATGTGAGTGTCTCTATCTTCTTTTTTCTTTTTTTTTATTATAATGTTATAATATCTTCGATTCTTACCTATAGAATAGAAGAGCTATATTGTTCTATATAAAAGAGAATTGAGTACCTGAAAGTTTTTATTTTATTTTATTTTTATTTTTTTATGTTCTCTTTTCTTCTTACTGTATTCTGTCTTAAGCAACATGTCCTTCGTTTTGATAATCTTTTAACCAAAGCTTGGGAAATTCTTTTTATCATCCATCAATGATAAATAAAATAAAATAAAATAAAATAAAAAATAAAAGAAGAAAATTTTTAAATGGCATATACAGAGAGAGAGAGAGAGAGAGAGAGAAAGAAAGAAAGAGAAAACAAGTGAAAACAGAGCTAAGACACTGGACACCTTCTAATACATCAGACTGATTAGCTGTACATTTCTTGTGTTTTTTTCTGTTGTTTTCTTTTTAAAAATACCAATCATTATTGACATACGCAAATACCTCGGATGAAAATCTCGACCGTAAACAAAATCAAAATAGATGACACCTACTCTCTAAATCAATCTCTGTTGTTGTTTTTTATTTTATTAGTTCTTTTTTTCGTTTGTTTATGTACGCCTCATCTTTTTTTTTTTTATATTAATGTTCTGTTTATTTCTTTACATCAAAAAAAAAAAACCTCGGCATAATAGAAAAAACAAAAAACTGTTAAAATAACCACAAGAATATTTTCAAAAGTACTATGATCCACTCTGATTTTACCTTAAAGCAGGACCAATTAATTGAATTTTTTTACCGTTAAAGACCTTCGAATATTTTTGTATTTTAACTCCCGAAAGGTATTAAAAAATTGAATTTCTTTTTTCTGCCTATGCCTTCGTTTCCTTCATTGAAAAAATTGAATCATCTGTCTGTTTCGGCAAATTACTTCTTAATAAAATATTTTACAAATGATTCAATTTCGAGTTCTTTTATTAAAATGTTCACCATTCTCTACAGATATATTTTTTCAAAAAAAGAAATAAAAAAAAAAGCAAAAACGAAGACAATAATATGTCTCACTTTTTCATTCTGATCAAACTGTACAAGAGACTTTTTGATAGTGGTTTTATCGTAGTCTGTTCACACTCCTTCTTACATGAGAACTAAATTGAATTAAAAGTACATTATTCAAATTTGATTTGTACAATGTAAGCATATGCAAATTAAAAAGAGATAATGTCTATATGTTAATCAACGCACAGACACAAAACAAAACAAAATAAAGCAAATAGTTCTACTTATATAGGTCATTTTTCCTCGTGTACGTGTTAATTTTCTATTCTAATCTTTTAGGATTGAGGAAAAAACGAAGAATGAATACTTGGCGACTTTTTTCTTTTCAAGGCGACAACATTTAACTTGATTCATCTATTGTTTTCACTTTTATTTAGAACTCAATAACTAATTATTTGATTTAGAAGTAAAATGTATAAAACTACATTAAAAACTGATTTGAATAAAAAATAGACAATTTTAAAATTGTCATTTTAAATAAATTCTTCTGCTTTCTTTTTGTGCATATCTTAATAATGTTCCAATAGTATTTACATTTAATTACAAATTGGACTGCATTAAACATTCGATTAAGTAGTGTAGGTAAAGAATAAGATGAAGATCGTTCTACAACTAATTAACGATGAGTAGTGCATGAAAATAAGAAAAACAAAATAAGAAAAGAAAATATTTTTTAAGTAGTGTAGATCGAGTCATCGATATTGATCACACCTATATAGATGAATATATATTCTTTTCAAATTTATATTGATGTGTGTGTGTGTGTGTGTGTGGCACGCGGTCTCTTTCTTTTTTTCTTCTTCTTTAAGCCAAAAAAAACATAATAAATCTTTTCAAATAATAAAATCATTTATATCGATGGTGATTAAAATTGTATTTTTTTTTATTTTCTTTTAAGAAAATATATATCCACGCATTTTTTTTCGTCTTATAAAAGTAATATGAAGACTTTACACACACACACAAAAAAAAAAAGAAAACCAAATGAAAAATAAAACGAGACATATTTATTCTTTTTGTATAAAATTTAAAGATACAATTGTTCATGTTAGTTTCTTAAGATTTATTACACAAAAATTTTTTAATTGCCTAACTTTTTTCAAAATCGAACTGCATATTTGTTTCATAAACGTTTAGAAAGAAAATAGAAAATCTATTTTACAGACAAGAAGAACTGTTCTATTAGAATACAAACTGTTAAACTCTTTCATTTAATAAGTCAACAAGATATGCGATTATACGTTTTTCTTCTTTTTTTTTTTTTACAGTATACATATACCACAAACTCAAATAAAGATTAAAAAGACAATTGAGTACACTTTATATATTTAGAATTATCAAAACATACTTAGACCGTTTTAAGAGAAATAGAGTTAAAATAAAAATATCTAAATCAAAGAACATAAGACTATCTTGAAAATAAAACAAGTAAAATTTTATGATTTATAAATAGTTTAAAATACGAACGAACATCATCGTTAGAAAATGGATACACTTATTTTAAAAAGTATATTTACCTGGAAGAAATGGTACTATTAAACAAGATTACGGTCATTTTGCACTTTGAAAGTAAAAAAACAAACTTTACTTTTTTGTTAAACGAAGTTTGATAGATAAATATAATAAAAACAAACAAACAAAAAAATACGTACGACTCTTAAAAGAATACACGGTTGTGGATATGTGGTAAAAAACAAAAAAATGACGGATCAAAATATTATTTTATATCATGTTAAATCATTCATTCTAATGCGTACTTTCATTTTTATAACAAATATTGACAAAAAAAAAAACGAGTGAAACAGTGAGTAACTTCTTGACTGTATACACTATATATATATATATACCTCAAGAAAACGTATTCAGTGAGGATGTTGACAAATACAATTACAAAAAAAGGAGAGAAGCACTATGGGTATATCCAACATAATAGATTAAACACATAGAAAATTCATACTTGAGGCAGTTTTATATAATTTCACTTCAAGTCCAATTCTTCTGATTTTTTAACTATTACCACAAGATTAGAAGCAAAAGAAAAATTTTTCAAAATTTTTGCGGTTAAACGTTATTTATACGGGAAAAGGAACAGTCAAGCAGAGCAAACACAAATTGTGTGAATGCTGTCTTTCTCTTGATCTGAATAGTTCTTGAAACTGGATGAGAGAGCATTACATTTTATGTTATATATATATATATATATATATATAAAGAGTGGAAATGATTAGCTAATCCAAAGCTTTGGAATATGTTCGTTCAACAATAGTAAACGTACAAATTTTCTTTCTTTTTAAAAAGTAAACTTTTGAAGTATTTATTATGCAATCACATGAAAACGAAAACATGAGAATTCATCTCTTTTATCCTAAAAGATTCCACTCATAAGTTGAAAAAAAAAACGAAAAATTTCTTTTTTTCTTCTATTCTTTTTTGCACGCGTATATGGTTTCACCAGAGATATATACTTAACAGGATTTCATTCTTCTCTTTCACGGTTGGCTCGCTTCTTCAAATTACGAAATATGAAAAGATTTCAATCTCTTCTATTCTCCTTCTTTTTGTTCACACAATTTTTCGATTTAAAAGAATAACACGCACATTAAACTCTTCAGGTATATTTTCTTTCTTTTTTTTTTTTTTGTTGACTTTGTTCAGTTGTTAATGATATTTTACTGAACGAACACAGAATAGTTCATTTTAATCGTAAATTTTCGAAATGAAAAATCTCTCTTAAAAAATGTCTCTGTTTCAATGTGTAGACTTAAATAATAATAATAAAAAAACGATACATTTCTTTACATACGGTTACGTCTTTATTTAACGGTATCATTTTCAGTTTTGTCTCTCTATCATCATTTGTAAATATATATACATTACACACATAGTCCGACTAGTATGACACAAAACTCAATTATTTACTTAAAAAATAGACTCAATCATTCATTCTTTTCTTTCTATTTTACAATATATACTTATACTCCTATAAAATTCAAACAGATAAGCAGAAAAAGAAAACAAATTTTTATTGACATAGATTATATAGTACAAGTGAAGAACAATTAAAAAATAGTTAAAATATTTGAATATTGTTAAAAAATATATTTTATTTTTTTTCACTATAAGTTCTTTAAAATGCGATAACACAAAAGATAAAACTACATTGAGCTCTCGATTTAAAAGTCAAATTAGAGAACAAAATGCCGAACAAAATGGCATATACAATATGATTAACATTATAACAATGTATTATTAAATCTTAAGATTACGATTAGTTCCTCGCCAATTTTTAAATCACTTCTCAAGAACAAATTTTGAGTGTACTCTATATCTTTGTTAGAATAATTTCTCTTAAATATATATATATATATATGTTCAACTCATTTTATGCTATCTACACCTATATACATATATACGGCAAAAAAACGTATTTATTATAATATACTTTATATATGTATAAACGATGGTTGTATTGTATTTTTTGTCATCGTTTGTATACTGGATAGATTATGCGTCTGACATAGATTTTGAGACAACAGGAAGAAATGAAACGAAATGTTTTATGATCATAACTATTCTGTAGTTAACAAATATCGACACCTAAGAATGTTGTATACATATTCATCCATTTTGTTAGATATATAAACGGATAAACACATTTAAGTTTCAATTTTCAAATAAAGAAAATGGCATTTGAACCATATAAAATAAATCATACAAAAAAGAAAAAAAAAAAAAAAGATGTTTTAAAATAAGCACCTCATTTTCTACTTAAAAAAAGAAAAATTCCGGCCCACCTTCACAGAAAGAAAAGAATGTATATTAGTAAAAGATGGGTAATAAGAAAGTTTTACTTTAAATTTATAAGTTATAACCGATAACGACGATATTTAGTTGCATTGGTTCTTTGTCAATAGCACATTGACAACGTATTTACTACTTTAAAGCAAATATTTGTTGTGTTGGAGGAGATATTCGAAAAAAAAAAGGCACTTACAAAACTATTATTGATCATTTATGATTCGCTAAATAATAAAAGCTTACCGAGTTATGTTAGGCTCCTTTAATATACGAAATGTCAAATTCATGACAATAGTCCCAAGACACTTGCTCCATAAAGATAAAAACTTGTACTGAATCTATGATTAGCCATTTTCTACTTAAAATATTGTCTAATTTATAATACTACAGTTCCAAGCCCTTTCTCTCTCCTAATCGTTATTTATTGTTAGAAATGTTTTATACCACCAAGTCTAATATTATCTCTTATTGGACTTTCTGTTTCATTTCAAATGGTGATAGAAACAAGAACCAATAGAGAACATGTTGAAAACAGCCTTTTTCTCAATATTAAATGTCATGGAAACTCTGCTCTACGATTACCACTGCTCCATTATTGCACTCGATCAGTTAAACTATATTTTCATAAATTTCTTTTGAAAAACAAACGAACGTATAACAAATCCTTCTAATACTTTCAACTGTCGTAGCAGAGTACGTCCATTCTTAAATAAGAAATCTTTTTATATCTCTATTGATGTACTAAATCGATACTAAATTTAATGTGTTATGCAATGATGAAAGCCTTGTATATTTAACTGATAGTATATGAGCTTTCATTTTCCAAAAACAAACTTCGAGTGAGTCTGATGAATAATAATTTCCTTATTACAAATATCTACAACTTCTTACTCACGTTCTTCGACCAAATTTCAAGTATATTAGTTCCTGTCTTTATCAGCACATGAAAAAAAAGTGTAAACACGGCCTGATAATATTTAACTGATCGATCGAATAAGTGACTATGGAAAAAAAATAAAATACTTCAGACATTTTCTTCGTATTACTCATACAATATAAACACTTCACCTTGTGAGTTTTGTTTTTCTGATCAAAATAACAAAAAAAAAGAATTTTTTTTTACCTTTTTAGTTATTTGTTTGTTTATTTGTTTGTTTGTTATAAATTCACATACGACTTGTCCAGTTTAATTTATTTGATATGAATAAGAGAAAATATCAAAAGAACAAGCGTGATCGATCTATACATGTATGTAAATGTATGAAGGGGGTAAGAAAGGATATTGAGATATTTTAAATTATCAATTCCATGTGTATATTCTCGAGTTCTCTCGCCACTTTTTTTTCTTCTTTATTACCTCTTACTTATTTGTTTAATGGAATTTAACAGCCAAAAGAGAAGAAAAAAAAGGAGAAAACTCGATAAAAATGAATTAATGTTCATGTTGGACATGTATAGTCTCAGTGAGAAAAAGAGAGAGAGAGAGAGAATCAAGTAGGTGAACTATATACAGACACGCACGTGAATGATTTTGTTCAAAATGTGCGACTATATGGAACTTTGGGTACAAATTATTATGTGTGCAAATTTTAATAGTGGTGTCTCGTAGTATTAATAGTAGTAGAATTGGAACACAAAACATCGAGTATTGAATGAATATATAGGTAATAGAATATACTTTATGAAGCAGAGAAGGAAAAACGAGAAGAAAATATCAGGACAAAGAGAAAAAAACGTGTGTATAGGCTCGGTGCTGTTTAAAAAAACTTACTTACAGTTGACATATGAAATAATAAAAGAGAAATCTTGAAAAAAAAATAATAAAAGAAAGAGAATGTATGTATGCGCGTAATTGCTACCGGGCAACGTGTATTAAGAAGAACAGTCATATTGTACGTTTTTTTTTTTTGTTTTGAAGAATTTGAGAAAAGGAAAAAACTTTTTCCATATATTAATAGAAACATTATCGAACATAATCCACAATGAGCATAATTTAGAATATTATTGTTGACCTGAACACAAATAATTTTTCATTCGAATCCGCATGCCTATGAATAGTTTTCTTTCATGTTCTTGTTCCATTTTCCCAATGGAAATGAATAGAACTATCATGTCTTTTTCTTTTTTTTTTTCTTCTTTTTTTAATATGTTACGTAAAAATGAAAAAATGTTTTTGAATTTTGATGATGACGATTATTGTGAGAAAAAAAGGAAATGATTATCAAGGACTAACACCATATTTTATACATCTCATTTTATTATACAAAACTAAAAGAATATTTTTTTTTCCTATTTCGAAATGAAAAGTTATCATGTCTAATTTCATGTCTTTATAAAAGCAACTTTGTTTGTCATTTAATATTTAAACGCACTTTTATACGTGTAGATATGATACAAGTCTTTTAAAATTATATATTGAGTTATAATATCAAAGATCGTTTTGTTAAAATAATAATGTTGCTCAGTATTATAGGAAATAATCATAGTTCAATTTTTATTTACTAAAATCCAATGTAGCAATATAAACGGAGTAACAAAATGAAAACTTCTTTTTTTTTTTTAAATATTTTTTGGAACAAAAAGAACACTACAATAAAAATAAAAATATGTTTTAATATCTAAATTAATCTAATTATTGAGATGGCAGTTGTTGTTCACTAATGCTTTCTGTAACTTTTCCTATATCCTTGAATGAAACATTGCCCGATCCACGTTTAGCTGGCGCTTTCTAAAAGAGAAATAAATATGAATTATTATTTTTTTGTATAATTAAAGAATATCAAATACAAAATACCTGTGATGGATCAGGTTTCCATCCGATAAAATACAATACTCGATATGTTGCTGGAATAGAACCATCATTATTACCGTACATGTCTGAATCGAAAGAAAATATAAATATACAAAGTCAATTATTTAATTAATTACAATGAAATAGTTATTTATTTACGGCAACCAACAAATTGGCCGACGATGACTAACAAAAAAACAAAAAATATTTTTCATCGGCGACCTTCATAGCCAACAGCTCAAGTAGACAGTAGTGATAGCTGATCGGCTGGTCTAGTTATCTAGTTATAATTTTCAGAGAACTAATTCCATATTGCAATGAATTTAAGATTACCTTTGTAGATGGCTTGTGCTGCTAGTAATGTTTCCCGTTTCAATGTAAGTCGTCTATTCCAGCTACAATTACTTTCACCCATACCTGCATAAAATACAAATTATATAATCAATTATCATTTTATTAATTTTGACAGACCTTTGATATCAAACATTAGTTCAAATATATTTGGATAATCAATGTGTACCTCATCGACATCCTAAAATCTAAAAAATGCAGATCTATCTATTTATCAGTAGAAAAGAATAACTAGTTTTAAATACTACAAACCAATGTCACAATATTGTATCCAACACGTTGTAAAAGACTACCAATATCTGGTGGATCAACAAATGGTGAGATATGAGGAGCAAAACCCTTCGATAAAACATACATTTTAGTAAGGTTTTTTAAATTTTCTACTATTCATTATTTCACTTACTCCTTCTCGTTCTGTTTCAGCTAATTGTAATGCAACACGTAATTCAAATAATGTATCAGAGGCAAACATTGCCCCTAAAACAAAATTTAATTAATTTAATTCAGATTTTCTATATTATCTTTTGTTTCTTACCAATGAAGGGTGCATCATTTTTTAAAGAATGAAGAACATTTTGAAATACTCCCGGTAAATCATTTATCCAATGTAAACTTAAACAACTGTAGGCTAAATCAAATGTATTCTCATTAAAATTAAAATTTTCTTCATCAATATTTTCTTTAACTATTTCCATATCTACATGTCCATTTTCTTCTAATGGTGGTTCAATTTGTTCTAACATTAAAGCGGATGAATCAATCATCACTATTTTTTTAACAACATCTTTTGTTAATTCTCGGGTGGTTAATCCTCGTCCACAACCAAGATCTAAGGCACATTCAAATGTTCTAAATAAAAAATAATTAGATGAAGTAGATAACATTTTAAACAAAAATAATGTAGTATACCTTTTTATATCAAATATACGATCAACAACACTTTGAGCTACTCTCTCATGTACATAACTATAGAGTGAACGATCTGGATCTAAACATGTACGATTTCGTTGAATTAACTTTGTTTTACGATCAAATACATTTAATATTGTCTCTTTTCGTTGATAATTGATTGAACTTATATGAAACGCACGATTCGATAAATATGAGACATATTTTGTTTTTTGACATAATAAACGAAGACAAAATAGTTTACATTGTGAACATTGCATCTATAAGAAAACAAAAGGTATTTGATGAGAAAACTTTTTGTAAGATTGTTACAAAAGTCCAATACATTCTTTACATGCTTTAAATTTATTCATGTTTGATGTTTTCCGAATTAATATAAAATTTATAAAAGTAAAAATAAATTATTATAGACAAAGCACTGTAACACTATAACAATATGTTTTAATTATATTAAAAAAACTACGAACTCAATCATCCAATGTTACATCATGTTTTAATATTAAATCTCTCGGTAATCCGTTGAAGTATAATTTACATCGATCATTTCTTAATTATTTTTGATGACATTTGAAACAGAGATCAGCACGAGTCGGGCCAGAAAATTTTATAGAGTGATCGGGCTTGGGCCGCAAAATATTTTGGTTGGTCGGGCCGGACAGAATTCAAAATTTTTAAGCATACGTGGATTTGTAATTTATGTGTATACTCAGTACCGAGAAAGAGTTTTATCACTGTTCCGCGACATCTTAATGACGTCGTTTAGCTAATGCCTTTATAGGTTGAAAAATGAAAACCAAGAAATCATAAAGGTATAAATATTAGCTTGAGAAATACATTTACACCACTTAGCCGGCAAAAGCATTACAGATGCAAGAAAAAAATCACACCTGGGACCAGAACATTTTAAAAAATGACCGGACCGGGCTGGGCCAGATAATTTTGGTCGAACCGAGCCGGGCTTGGTCCGGAAACTTTCATCATCGGGCCGGGCCAAACTTTTCGGGCCGTGCAGATCTCTTATTTGAAAATATCCACAAACGGGCGTTATCTACATCAGACCTCTTAAAGCATAAATCTATCAGTTAGTCAAACTAATATTGCTTCTCAACTTTGCTTTTAGTGTATTCAATTTGTAATTATATACGTTAGGGTAAGGAAAGATTTACAGTAAAACTTCTGCATATAGACACCTTTCCAAAGTGACTACCTCTTCATTGTCAGGGTAATGGTAGAGTATAAACACTCACAGACACATACACTCACTTCTATGTGGGTGTCTGTGGGCTGTCTGTATGTGTCCGTAGGTGTTTTTATGTTCCACTATTATCTTCATTCTGAACACTTTATAAAAGCTCCAAAATGACTTTTTTATTGGAAATGAATGCTCCGAAGATGCTCACAATAGAAAATCGTCGATTATCTCGGTCACTATATCTAACTGGATGATTAAAATAGTGATTCAACAACAAAATATTGACAAGAGCCAAAAATCTCAACATCGACATTTATTCATTACAATACTGTTTTAGTAATCTAGTTTGATGAGATATTTCTTAAAGGCCGTCTAGAACAACAAAACTTATAACCCATGTATTCTGTGAAAAGTGGAGCCAGTTTCCGCTAAAATTTAGGTGAACAACAGTATAGTAGAGATAAATTATGACGACAGGTACGACTGTGCAATAAACTAACACTTTATAAAAAAAGTGTTTTTTATACTCTTTTTTTAAACCATATTGAATACAGGAAAGAAAAGACGTTCATGTGTTAGATTTGGTCCATAGTCAAAGAAAGTTTAAACTCTTGGAGGAAGGTCATTTTTCAAGACTTAACTTATACTCTATTATATACTAATGTAAATAATGTCTGGGGGGCACTAGTTCGTGCCGTATTGTGTGAGAAATAGGTAAAAATATTTTTTCTTAACTTAATTTCTATTCAAACGTATTATCAGCCAAAATTGTGTGATAATCTCCTCGGTTCTGCTGAATTTGGAATCCTAATTCATAAAATGTTGTACATCATTTGTTTATCAACATCAAAATTCAAAACTTTCATCACAATTTCGATTTTATAAGTAAATGATAAATTACAAATGATGAATTTATAATTCTTTATAACAACAAACTAGACTTCATTTCTTCGCATACTGCTATGAGACACCATAGCCCAAGGTAATATATAAACTTGTTTCCCTTAAAAGCCTCTTTCAAAAAAAAGAACGGAATTTTTTTTTAATATTTTTCCAATTTATTCTTCAACTTTTCTATGATATTGATTGGAGATATTGTGAACTACAGTAAGAGAGTGATTACAGCATTATGACACAAAGAAATACTTTGTTATTGTCGAGAAATAATTGAATAGTATGTGTTATTGTTTCTTACAAAAATTCTAATGTACTGAATGTTTATGAATTACAAATAAAAACATTCTTGCAAGATCTAATTTTGTGTATTTGAAGAGGTTCTGTATAAGAGACATTGTTCTGATGCTTTCTGTCGTTTTATTTCAAGTACATGCTTAAGAAATAATACGTATGATAAGAAGAAAATGTGTACAGAAAAAGAAAAATGTGAATATAGTCAAATATGTACATAAACAGAAAAACAAAACATAAAAGTAGAAGCAATTTTTTTGCATTATTGGACATATAATGTTCACACGCAGACGATCAATTTCTATCGGTCTAACCTTTTTTCAGATATACACTGGTATAAAAAAAAACAACTAATGTTTACTCATAGAGTAAAAAAATTTGCATACGTTTTTTTCTGTTCATTATCATCTGTCCAATAAAAGTAATTCCTGACATCCATACTGGATCGTTAAACAAATATTCTTCAAAAATTCCAGACTATTAATCTATTCAAAGGATATAATTGCCTATAATGCAAATATTACCATGAGAATGGTTTTATAATGAGTCTGTGCGAAAACTGCTCACACAAGACAATAAGAAAAGATTTCAACCGTAAACAATCATTAGATGAAAAGATAGTTCAAGAATTTCTGATTCCATAAAGATATTACTCATTAAAAGCAACGCTTTATCACATGCCACATGCTTGTGTCGGATACATTAGCAAAAAAACTTGACTTTTCGATAAAGTAAAAAGTATACTGTCCTTCAAAGTTAAAAGTAGATGTAGTTCAGAAAAAGTTTGTACAAAAGTATTTAAATAAAATGTTCTTACTCCGTTACAAAAAAACGTTTTAAAAAAAAGAAAAAGTTCATCTAAAATGGAAAGAAAATGAACATGTTTATGTTTTACTGCCATCTTCACGGTTCGGAATATGTTTTATAGAAAATCTATCAAGTTGTCATTTAAATATTTGTACAAGTTGTGCTGAGTTTTGCGCCTGATCCACCAGTGGCTCGTTTTTCAATAAATTTCTTGTTATTTGAATTGTACTATGATCATTTAATGACATTGCTTCAGTTTTAACAATTGGTATTGAATTATCAAGCAATAAATCATGTTGATAATTTGTTAAGGAAGCTGACGTTGATGAATTATTCGCATTATGACTATGATGATTAACTAGTTTACCAGTTTCTTTTACGCGTTCAAGTAATCGAGCTGGTATAAATAAAAAAATGAGAAAGAATTAGCGTTCTGAAATTCTAGAGCAAAAACTGATTTGAGCATTTCGTCAATTGGTCGTCAATTGACAGTACAGAAACAAAATCACTGTTTATTTTAATGTTAATGAGCATTAAAATGATCGTTTACTCACTTTGTAATACTAATGATGCATTTTGTCTTTTAAAGTCTTCAATTACTTTTTGATGCTGCTGGTTTTTTGACTTTAGACTTCGTATATAATCTGTTGATGCTTTTAATACATGCGCGCGCGATGCCTGTAATAAATAAAGTTGCTGCTGAAAACATTCAATTGTATTGAATATTTTTACCTTTTCTCCCTTCAATGATGGAACGGCATCTCTTAAATCGCTAAAACTTCCTTTGATATGATCACGTCGTTTTCGTTCCAAAGCATTGTGATGTGCTCGTTTTTCGGCCTTAACGAAGAAAAAAATAAATAGTCAATAGGATTACTTTTATGTTTTAAAAATAATATACCTGACTCTGGAAATTTTTCACATTCATCGACTGTTGTAGTTGATCATTATCACCCTCTCGACTACTACCGTCACTTTCTATCATCTTTCAAAATCTAAAACAAACTTGGTTGACAAAATCACAATTTTTTTTTGAAAGTTTTTTCATGTTCAGATTATATCCGGTAGAAACTCGGAAAAAATACATATTTCTTTTTTCGTGTGTCCCACATTATTCAGATTTTGAAAAAACATACTACGTAGATGTCAGCAGTCAAGACAAAGAGAAAAGTGTTACATAATAAGATATAAAAAATAAATAATCAAAAGTTTGTGCAGACCGTCGATACGCCATGCGCATACTTAAGTGCACTATATTTCCTAGGAAAAAGAAAAGAAAAATAACTATTTAATGTTTTGCTGGACAAAAGATTGACTAGTTTCAACTAGGCCTGTGACAGTTCGTAGTTTCTTGTACTGCAGTTTCTCGATAACGGGTACGGTTTTTCAGTTTTCGTTCTGAACCAGGAACGGTTCACCAGTTCACATTTCTAGAAACGAGAAACTGTTCACTAGTTCCAGTTCCTGCGAACGAGAACTACAGTTTCTTTTGAACTGGAAACTGCTCACTGTCCTTTAGTGATTTGTTGACGTATTATGTATTGCATTTCGCAAATCTAAGACTTTGAAAGAGTGAATACTGGAAAGAGATACGCTCAAAGAGACTTCCAGATTAGGTGGTAGACTTTGCTGATTGAATTTAGTCGTTACTTCTTAAGATCTTGATCAACCGGTTAGCAACACCAGTTACCAGTGTAGCTAGCGAAAGTACATTTTCGCAAGCTAATGATTTTACAAGGAAAAATCGACTATCACTAACTTTAGTAACAACGAGAATGTCTGTGTTTTTGAAAGACAAAGTATAAATGTTGACAGTTTTTACTATTTTGATTATTAGTATCTGTGTGAAATTTTGCTCAGAAACAAGCACGTAAAGGAACGACATCAGATAAACCGTCGGATTCATATTGAACCGTAAAATACACTAACATGCTAAAGGAGATAGAACGCTAGTAGATTAGAAAAAGAAGCTCAAGTATATCATACAGTTTTCAGTTAAAAAAGAACTGTAGTTTCCATTCGCAGAAACTGGTGAACCATTCCTCGTTTCTAGAAACGTGAACTGCTGAACCGTTCCTAGTTCAGAACGGAAACTGAAAAACCGTTCCGTTCATTGAACGCAAGCTGAAAAACAGTTCTCGTTCTTTGAACGAGAACCGTGAACTGTCACAGGTCTAGTTTCGACCATTCCAGGTCAAGTATTACAATGAACGATATTTTCTATACATCAAATCCAAACTAAAGTTGCTTAACTACAATACAAAACAAAACGGTTTATAAAATATATGTGATTAATTTTTCTTGAGTTTTTAGTAGCTCTCAAATCGACACATTCATCAAGCCAAAGGTACTTGTTCTATCTACATGAGCACGATATCTTCTAGGATTATAAGTGACATCATATTTTTTATAAACAATGAACATCTCTACTTCAACTATCTGTTTAACAGTATGAAACTGTTTACTAAGCAAATCTGAAACTTCGTTGGAGTATGTATCATGATCGTTGTCAGCATCAGAGGGCCGTATCACAAAAAGAAAGTCTGACTTAAGTCAAAATTTGGACTTAAATCTTCGTTATTTGCACTTACGTGCTAATTTTATACACTTAAGTCTGAATTAAATCTAGACTGACTTACGTTTTTTCGTGATACGACCCCAACATTTGAAATGATGTTATATAACGAACATTCTATCCATTGTATAGTCAAGTCAAAAAATGCTAGTCTACAGCATAGACAGCATTTATTAATAGTTTTTTAACATAATGATCAAACGATTAATTTTAGTTTATTTAATACACCTTTACATCACTGTCGTCAAATTCAATGTCCATAGTTCTTTAACCTTAGTACGAGACTGTTTTTGATTGTGTTTCTTGTATAATGCCGCTATACGTTCATCGGATTTTTGCTTCATAAATATCAGTCGCATACTACACAAAAAAGCAGACAGTTCGATACTTAATAGAGCTAATATCCGACATACTTCATCCCAGATTTAGACTTCTCATTGGGTTTCATTTTAATTTCAATTCATTCTTATTGATCTGAAGTACTTATAACGTTGTGTAGGTTTAGAAAAACCAAAGTGTATGCGTTTCGTATTTTGTTTACTTGATGAATCTGCTTCTTTTCATCTCTCTTTTAATTATTCTAATCTTATTCTTATCATCATCTCAAACAAATAAAATGTGATTGGACTTTTATTTCAGTAGGTACTTCATCTACTAATATGTGAACGTTTGCGTCATCAATCCCTCAACGATTGTACACTAGATTTCCGAAATACTGTCAAGTTGCCATCGATTTTGCTATATGTGACTAACCGCCGTAAAAAAGATCCATGAAATATCCTTGGATTGTAACTTTCTATTTGTGTATTATCAACCAAAGGAAAAAAGCTCGAAAGGTGTCGGATGATTCTACTAATGTGCTTTTATCAAAGTGTGCATATATCAGAGAAATTTGAAAAGAGAACAGGAAAAGATATTTTCTCTCTTTTCTGGGATTATTTACAGGAGATGCAACGAATAATATATAAATCAAACACACATTAAGAAAAGCACGTTAGCCGAAGCGTTATTTAGAGCTAGAAGAGTACTAGGTAACAGTAATCCGCGACTCGAACGGTGCTTTGACTTAAAGGGTGTTACACGAACAAGTATTACAAAATGTACCCAGCTATTTCATAAGCAGGGAAAGTGATAACAATACGAGTTCGTAGGATCGGTCGACGATTTTATACGAATCTGTTACCTAACATTTTTCTTTTACAAGTGCGAAGCAAGCTCGCGTTTCCCTTCGCACAACATATTCGTAATCAGCGCACAAAACTGTGTCGAATGATGTATAATTTGTAAGTTATTTTTGTACAAAATATTTTGATCTAACGGAATCTCCTAGACCTGAAGTATTACCGCGACAAATTTTGACTAGGAGTTTTGATATTTGTTTTAGTAGTCGTGCAAAAGGCTACTAATACTGTTTTTATAGGTTTTTAGATATACTCTTTTTAATGGTGTGGTTTACAAAGTTCAAAAGTATTTTATGTAGATTTTCTGGAGATCCGAGTCTCTAGAAAAGCCAGAAAATACATTTTTGAACTCTGTAAGCCACACCATTGAAAAGAGCATATCTAAAAACCTATAAAAACAGTATTAGTAGCCTTTTGCACTGCTTCTATAGCACATGTTCACTTGCACAGCCAAAGTTGCCCACTGTGTTTCGGTAGCACTCACGACACAAAATTGATGGCCTTCACCCAACGCACAAGAAAACTACTTTGAGCCTTAAGTACGCGTCTGAAGGTTACTTTCAATTGAATCCGAATATCTCGAAGCTTTACTGGGTCCAGCAGTACGACAGTTTTCGGAAGACCTCCGGAAGATTCCTAGATGTCCTATTGATCCTTGTCTGAAGACACACCACAACTTTCATCTGACGGGCATTTTTCTATGTTTTGCAGACAAAGACACACATATAAGCACAACTCTTTTGTAATCGTTTGTTGTGTGGTTTGATACGAGAAAGCAGCCTAGTATAGGAGATAGACTAAAATCTATTGGACATTTTTATAGCGTCATCCTTTGCTCAGTTTCGATACCATTCACAGCAAAAATTGCTCAAAAGCTGAAAAACACTGCGATTTTGAACGCAAATCGTAGTTTTACTTTTTGCTTGGTGCTACCAAACGCTATTTTATCAGACACAGAATCAGTATGTTGATATCGCATATACAGAGTTTTGCAGAGCAGAAAATTCTCTATCGAATGCGTTTAGAGTGGAGTCTTAAAACTTCATTTTAGTTCTCAAAAAAGAATATAATTTTATGTCGAATGTAAATACAACCTTTGACAACAGTATTTGTAACTGCTTAAACAGCTAATACAAAACCAATTAATATTGTTTTAAGTTGCAATAAAACGCCAAGATTTGTCGCAGCTATCTTCAAACCTGACCAAAAATAGTGTTGTTGTGATTTTCATTATCTTCCTTTTAAGTACATAAACTTCTTGTTTGGTAATGCGTTAAATAAAGCTGATTTTAGTGACTATAAATCTCATGCATGGATAAAAAAGATTGCGTGTATAACTGACAAGGTTGATAGGTTTCATTGGCATTTCCCATGCACATTCTGTGAAAGTATTTCAACAACAAATGGAGAACAATATCATATAATTCTATTGGAACGATAAATCAAGATCTGTTCATTATTCAATGTTTCCAGCATTGTTAAACTGAACTTTATTTTTTCTGCCGCCCACGACTATTGATCCTGAATTTGAATGCCCAACTCTGGAACTTCTTCTTATTCACGATTCAAACGAATGGGAACATTTACATGAAAATATATTACCGCTGATGCGCACTTCGGACAATCAGGCTTTAGATGACAAAAAATACCCCATGTTGTCGAAACCGGACGAAAAACGACGGTTAACCCCGGTTATTTCAAGAATCGACGATCTTAAAATAACCGTGGTTAACCGTCGGTTTTGACAACATGGGACGTTTATTGCGACAAGCAAGAACGACCATATTTTGTCAACAAAGAGAGCAAAACCATCCAATGGGATCATTCCTTCAAAGTAACTCTTTTTATGATATATTCCCAATTTGTCGACACATTAATTTTTTTCCGGACTCGTCGACAACATTTTGAGCGCAGAGACGGAAGATGTATGAGCCGCCGACGCTATAAAGTGTCGACCAATCAGGAAAATTAATTAACGCGTTGACTGAATCCTTTTTATGAAAACCGTATTAAGTTTGTTAGTGTCGGCATCGGCAGTGTCTTAGGATGTACAACTGATAAACGTTTCTAATTTTCGAATGTTGCTTGAAACGAATTCAACAGCGGGACAGTTGACATTGAACATTCGATTTTCGAATTTCTTCAAAGATTCGTTTGAACACATTAAAGCGTTTGAGTTAGATAGAAAGAAATCAGTAATAAAATGTTAACAATAACAATGTTTATCCA